TGGTGCAAGTTAAGGCAATTTTAATAGAAATCTCTGCTGATATGAACCTGTGTGTGAAAAGCAGCAACAACAGGGAAATTGTTTTTGGCTTGTTGATTTTTGCACTACAGTATGTCAAGAAATGACTCCAACATCATGAGAAGCACTTGCTTGAAAGTGGTATTCAACCTGTTGTAGTCACCCTCCTGCATAAGCAAACCTTGAGATCCACAGTCGCCACCCACTCTTCTGTATCTGTATCTAGCATCAGATGATTCAAGTTCAAATGATCCTGGACCCAAAGTAAAATAGTCTCTGTTCTTAGACTTGATCCTTCATTGTCAGATTCATTTAGAAATATGATTTTATCTTTAGCCGACTTTGCTAAACAAAAGTAAATGTGTGGTGCTGAGGTTTCCTGAAGTGTCTATTAGTGGTTGATGATTCATAGGCTCAAAGATTGGGTGCAATTTCTTAAACTTTAAAAGCACCTCTAAAATGGAAACTGCTTGTTACCAAGCCCTCCTTAAGTTCTGGAAAATGCACACACCTTTGTGTGCAACAAATGTGAACTGCTGCCGATCGAGCACAAGCCAAAGGAGGATCCTGCCTCCACAGAGCTGATGTGAAAATGTAACTTTTTGCCAACGGCAATAAAAAAATGATGACGCCAGATAAACAGTTTCTTTCTACAAACTACAGTAACCAGGCTTAAAAATTGCCATTTAGGATGTCTCCAGGTTTCAAAATTGACCACAGTGAGTTTGTGTGTTTCGTTAAAATAACTGGTATTTTTGTCATTTGCATGTTGTTGTTTGTTGTCATATAAGGCTGGCTGAATGTCATTTTGTTCAAAGTAAAACAGCAGCAGCAGAGGTAATAATGAGTTTCAAACAGCATTTTACTGCCAGAGGTTTTTCCCATATATAAGAAATTCTAAAGAGTCCATTTCTTGGTTTGAACTGATTTAAAAATTGCCAATATGGATGTTGCCATACATTGGTTAGATTTTATGTTATTTTACTTTTGGTTTGCTTTAATCTTCTTTCCAAATACACAACAGCAGTTGACTGACCATGATAAATTGGAGCCTTTTCATTTTAAGATTTATTCTCTTTCTTGATTGATCACATTTGAGGGAAAACACTGTTCTTAAATTATAACACCAGTTATCAAAGAGACTGTGGCATTCCTTATTCAAATTAACAAGTACCTGCTGTGAACAGGGCTGTAATGCAGGGTTACTCATGGTCCCTAAAGTCTCCAAAAGTAGATCAGGAGCCAGAGCCTTCAGCTATCAGGCTCCTCTCCTGTGGAATCATCTTCCTGTTACGGTCCGGGAGGCAGACACCGTCTCCACATTTAAGACTAGACTTAAGACTTTCCTCTTTGATAAAGCTTATAGTTAGGGCCGGCTCAGGCTTGCCCTGTACCAGTCCCTAGTTAGGCTGACTTAGGCCTAGTCTGCCAGAGGACCCCCCTATAATACACCGGGCACCTTCTCTCCTTCTCTCTCTCTCTCTCTCTCTCTCTCTCTCATGTCCTGTTACTGCATCTTGCTAACTCTGCCTCTTCTCTGGAGCCTTTGTGCTCCACTGTCTCTCAGGTTAACTCATATCGCAGCGGTGCCTGGATAGTGTGACATGTGTGGTTGTGCTGCTGCCGTGGTCCTGCCTGATACCTCCTGCTGCTGCTGCCATCATTAGTCATACTTCTACTGTTATTATACACATAGAATTAGTGTATACTATCATATATTAATATATACTTTCAACATATTGTAACCCAACAGACGTAATTATTATTATAATATTATTACTTTCAATAATGTTGTTGTAAGCTACTGTCATTACCGTCTGTCCTGCATCTCTCTCTCTCTCTCTCTCTCTCTCTCTCTCTCTCTCTCTGTGTCATTGTGTCATACGGATTACTGTTAATTTATTATGCTGATCTGTTCTGTATGACATCTATTGCACGTCTGTCCGTCCTGGAAGAGGGATCCCTCCTCAGTTGCTCTTCCTGAGGTTTCTACCGTTTTTCTCCCGTTAAAGGGGTTTTTTGGGGAGTTTTTCCTTATCCGCTGTGAGGGTCATAAGGATAGAGGGATGTCGTATGCTGTAAAGCCCTGTGAGGCAAATTGTGATTTGTGATATTGGGCTTTATAAATAAAATTGACTGACTGATTGAAACATACGCTTAAAAAGTTTCATGTAAAAACATGAATTTCCTCAGCTGTATCATATGAAGCCACTTGATTCAAAGTGCTTTAATATTCATGGTGTTTTGAAATGTTTGGGTATTGAAGTATTATTATTAGTTTCAATTCTTGTCTAAATGCAACCTAACCCTTTAAGAGTATAATACCATTTTTTATCAAAAGTGATTTCTAAGTTTTCGTGAGATGAAGATCTTGTCAGCTCTATTTTCTGTCAGACTGACACTTTTGTCCGCAAATGCGACCCTGTCTAAAATCTGTGTAAACCTTATAAACTGAGCAGCGGTGAGCTCATGACATTTGTCTGACCTTTTGATGTTTTAAATAGAGTGAACATCTGAGGATTATTTCTAAAGTTGCACATGTAGCAACGATGTCTTGAGAACTATATTAACTATTGTATCTCAGTGCAGAGAGCTGCTGTCTGGGCAGCTTCTTTGCAAACACTAAACAGTAAAATTACTCAAGTCAGTCAGTGTAAGAAATCAAACTCAAAAAAAAAAAAAATTACAAACTAGTATGACTCAAGTTGTTTTTCCTTCAATTCTGCCTTGCTTTATTTTGTTTTGGTGAGATTTTTTCCCCATTTCCGTCTGAGTTTAACATGGAAAGTATCATCCCCACAGCTTTAGATGGGATTATCAAGATTTTTTGTTTGTTTTTAATTCACCTAGAACTTCCTGTTTCCACATTACTGCACTGTGTCTGCATTCGGAATAGGAGTTGAAAATGCTGAGGGTGCTGCTTTAAGTTGAACTGTCTTTTATGAAGTTTTTTTTCTTTTTTCTTTTTGGATGATTGTCCGATGCAACATGTAGTAAAATCAAAAAATGGCAGACCTGCCACTAGAGAGGACTCTGCCTGATCTCCCTCCATTTACAAGCATTGGAGTTGAATACTTTGGACCAATTGAGGTGAAAAGAGGGAGAAGCATGTGTAAACGCTATGGAGTGATTTTTACCTGTTTGTCAAGCAGAGCAGTTCACCTGGAGATGGCGATCTCATTAGACACTGATGCATGCATTAATGCTTTGAGGCGATTTATGAGCAGAAGAGGCCATGTTACTCATATGCTGTCTGACAATGGCACTAATTTTGTTGGATCTGAGAGAGAATTGCGTGAGGCTCTTGCAAAGTTGAATCACAGCAAGATTCAGGGAGCACTGCTTCAACATGGAATCAACTGGAGTTTCAATACACCAGCAGCATCCCATTATGGTGGTGTTTGGGAACGTGTTATTTGGATGATCAGAAAGGTGCTTAATTCTGTTCTGCGTCTACAAACACTGGATGATGATGGACTGTACACAGTTCTTTGTGAAGTTGAGGCCATACTAAATGATCGGCCCATCACTAAGTTATCTGAGGATCCGAATGACCTTGAACCTCTTACACCCAATCACATTCTCCTCCTGAAGGGCAAACCTGCTGTACCACCTGGACTGTTTGTGAAGCAAGATCTGTATGTCAAGCGAAGGTGGAGACAGGTCCAATATCTCTCGGATCTGTTCTGGAAACGATGGGTGCAAGAGTATCTTCCATTGCTTCAGGAGAGGCAGAAATGGAACAAAGAGAGAAGAAGTCTTGTTGCTGGGGACATCGTCTTAGTGGTGGACTCAACAGCTCCTCAAGGCTCTTGGCTGCTCGGTAAAGTGCTGGAAACCTTTCCTGACAAGAATGGTTTTGTGCGATCTGTCCGTCTCAAAACAAAATGCAATATTATGGAAAGACCTGTAACTAAGCTTTGGCTGATGGCAGCCTGTGATGTTTAATTGGTGTTTATGCACTAATATGGTATGTTACGTGCACAACTACCACTCAAGAAGAACATTTGGCTCCTTTTGTTTGTTTGTTTGAATTGTTATGCTTGCACACCATTAACAATTAGGGGCCGGTGTATAGGAGCCAGGTTGTTCATTTTCTGTTTGCTTGTGGGTGTTGTGCATGTTTGAGCCAGTAGGTGGCAGTATCTGTTCAGGCTTGTGGTTTTCTGTCTCTATAGTCAGGTGGGTTAATCAGCGCAGGTGCGCACGCCGGGGAAGCCATACGGTTTTTGACCATGCCATGGCGTGCCAACGCCTCAGGTCAGAGTATTGTTCCTCCTAAGTTATTATTTAAACTTGTTATTATGTATTGAGTATTGGGTAAAACAGTCTATACTTTGCCTTGGCTGTATATAATAAATCAGCACAAAGAAAAGCAAATGTTTGGACATTTTTGCTGTGTTTGTGCACTTACACCAGCACCTATAGCCTAAACTGGCACACATACAAGCCCTTCAGACCAGTATGCGCAGATAGTGACAAAGGAAGCCATTATACATACTATAAACAGAAATCCAAAGTGAAGCAAAAATGAAATGTTTTGGCAATGCAAATCATTTTCATAGCCATTCACTTCAAATTTTTTGTGTCATTTGATAAAGATTATTTATATTTGATGAATATACTTGTCTACATTTCTTTGTATTTTTAAGAGCAAGAACTGGGCCCTTAAATTCCTAAGATGTCTGCCATGTAGTTTTCTTTTTTTGTTTTGTTTTTTAAAGATTATTTTTTGGGGCTTTTTGCCTTTAATGGACAGGGCAGATAGAAATGGGGTGAGAGAGAGAGTGGGGGTTGACATGCAGCAAAGGGTTGCAAGCCAGAGTTGAACCTGCGACCACTGCAGTGAGGCATCACTTCTGGACGTGGGGCGCCGGCACTATCCACTATGCTACCGACGCCCCTGCCATGTAGTTTTCTTAACTGATACCATCACCTTTCAACAACTACAGCATGCATTAACCATGCGGACAGATGAGTCCATAAAAAATTTTATTGTGCAGAGAGCAACACAAGAGAGCACTCGAAACTAAAACTTCCAAAATTATAATAATATTATATTATTAAATGTCATCATGAGTCTACACGCAGGGAAATCTTACAGCTCCACATCAGATCTGGGGAACAGTGCAGGGGGACGATCTTTACTGCTGCAAGACACAAACACACAAATGGACAAGTGTTAAGACAAATGTCTAGAAGTCCAAATATCCACTTTCTAATCTGCTTGTTTGACTCATAGTTGTTATCATGAAGATAAAATATTCCCATATATAATATTACTGTAACATGCAAATGCAATTAGGTGTGTTATGTGTTTGTTTGTTTGTTTGTTTGTTTGTTTGTTTGTGTGTGTGTTTCACCTTGGCTTTCTGGTTCTGGACAGGCAGGTAGAGTTTAAACTCCGCTGGGAGCTCGTCCTCAGAGTACAGTCTGTCTGAGAAATACACTCTCCTTATTCGACAGTTAGCGTGGATCTGAGAGGAAAGCAGGTCAGACATTAGCAACAGAAAGAGGATACAGTGGGGATTCTACAGTCACGCTAGAGTCAGTTGTATCCGGAGACAGCTGGTTCATAGTCCGTCTCTGTTGACTGACCTGTACCCGAAGTGTCTCAATGTAATTGGTCCCGTAGGCCCTCCTGGTGAAGTCTGACAGGTTGAACTGAATCTGGTTCCAGCCATCATCCAGCCTCATAGGCATAGTGCAGATAAACGGATTCACTCGTGTCGTACTCTGATAGTTACTCGCCCGAAACCGCCGACGAACATTTTTATCATCTAACACCTAGAAGTTGTAAAAGATGGGGAGAAAGTGTGAGTGACCATGAATCCTAACACACACATGTGCTGTATGTTGTGCTCACATATGCATGAGTACATGTTGGTGCCAACAACACATGGAAGGGGGGACTGTATCTGCAGGACTGCCTTCCCTACCTGGACTTCGAAGGTGAAGTACTTCTTGAGATTTTTGATGATCATGACCAGGAAAGGAAGCTTGATGCCCAGTGTCTTCTTTGGGTCTGGGGGACATGTTATATACGTGGTGCTGCAAGGAGTAGAAGAAATAGCAAGATGAGGGGTGCAGGTGACAGTGAGTAGAGCTTCAATGAGCGGAAGATAAAGTTAAACAAACACAAACTCACCTGACATTTGTCCCCTCTACCTCCAACACCGATGAGTGGATGTCATTGTCTGTGATCCTCTTGATGTGACCATTCCTCACCTGTGAAGACACAGACATATTGCTTTTCTTCAAGTTTATATCGAGAACTCAAGCTGTAACTCTCACGTCACAGATATTAGTCCATTGCAGATATATCCATATTGATGTGCAGCAAAGCCAAAGATATGTTTAAGGTAATTTAGAAACAACATTACCATTACATAATGTTTGTTTGCAAACCTGAGAGTTTTTGAGAGTTGTCTACACACATTTTAGGAGTCCTTATCAAAAATCATGTTACCAATTACTTTCAGCTGTTCATATGTATCCATCTCTCAAATATTAACACTGGTATTGGCCTCTTAAATCCTTCATTAGTCAGGCTATAATTAAGATGTGGGAGCAGTCAGTCAGCATGAAGTCAGCAAATATTGTCAGGACTTTCTACATATTAAAAGTGCTGTAAATTAGCTAACCTCAAACTGTCTTAAATAAATTATGACCCTCTTTGTTACTAGTAACTGCTGCTTGGCAAAAGCACCTTTCAGCCCACCTTTTATCCTGCTGTAGTTACATGTTGCATTCTGTGAGAACTAGGAGCTTTCTTAATTCATCATTTTGTGTAAATTGACAACATCATGGTGGTACAAATTTCCATATTTTATCAACGCCGTTGAGAGTTGGCCTAATAATTAAATCTTTATATTTTTTTTTCTATCTAAGTAAACCTCTATCGAGTTCATCTATTTGTCTTTTGCTGTTGCAGGTTTACCCGACGTGTAAAACTGACATGTGTGACGACGTATCCAAAACACACTGCAACAGATATGACAGTTTAAATGTTATTAACCGTTGAGCTCCAACGCTTGCCAGCTTTACCACGGCTAGCTAAGGAAGCTCAATGAGCCTCACAGCACTCAGTCTGAACTGCTGCTCACCTTTTTATCCCATATCTGAAGCGGTTTGCTGCCAATGCTGTACAAAATAGACAAGAATCCGCTTTGAAACGTGTTCTTAAACATCTTCTCTGCTCCTGGTCCACAGTCCTTTTGCAAATGTGTTTACGCCTACATGAAGCTGTTGCTAGCCAACGAGCGTTACGTTTGTTTACAGATTTGTTTCCCGTTTCCAACGCTACCGCTTCCGTGTGGTACAAACTAAACAGTTCCGCTGTCGGAGATTAAAACGTTTCGGTTCGATAAAATTAATATTAGTCGTGTATGATATTGCCAAACCCTTTTTTCCGAGAGCACGTAAAAAGAAAAAGAAAGTAGTGGTAATTTCTTCGTTATTTTGGTGTTGCTAGGGGAACTCAATCTCTTGGCGGTGTTCACGCCGGTTCTTAAATGGTGACGCACCCCGGTCGCCGTGGCAACCAAAAACCTGAGCAATGCGTTCTGTGGGTTTTCTGTTAATGACCTGCTTTATATTAATATTATACTGATATTCAACACATTTAAACTATATATGTTATTAGTGTGGACACTTCTACATCCACACATATATTTCTCAAAACTTTATTCTTATTATTTCAGCACAGTTTCTGCCATTTTTCAATTCATTACTCCTCCTGCATACTTTGTGCTACAGGAACCATTCAACTATCAAAATGTCCGGCTTGTTGTGGACATTTCTACTTTATATTTTCATATTTCTGCTATTTCTACTTTATTGTGATAGAAGCTGTTTTCAACTTTTTTGCCATTCATTTCTATTGGGAAAATCTTCAACTCCTCTTCAGCCCAGTCCACTTTGAATTGCCACTGCTTCCGCATACGTGCAGCTAGAGACTTCATTCAAACTTTAAACAGGTCACAAGAACTTCATCGATACAGCAATAGTTCAGCTCTTTGACATCTATAACCATTCTTTTATAATTGCCAGAGGTGGGAGTAAGTCAAACGTACAAGTCATAAGCAAGTCTCAAATCATAACCTTCAAGTCTCAAGCAAGTCCCAAGTCACTGTGGTGAAAATCAAGCAAGTCAAGTCCTTGCTATAAGCCAAGCAAGTGGAGTCAAGTCATTGCTCAGGTCAAGCAAGTCACACGTCAAATCATACTCACAAACTTATAAAGATAATATAAAACATAAACTGCACCCAGTGGAGGAATGTAAGTAAACACATTTACTCTGAGTCTTTTCTTCTCATGCCATCGTCTACCTCTACTACACTACATATATCTGAGGGCGTTAGTTACTAGTCACTTTACAAATTAAGATTTTGCACTCCAAACACATGAAAATGTGCAAGTGCAGCTGAAACTATGAGTCAGTATTGACAGAAAATAAATTTGCCACTGTCACAATTTCCAGAATTTTTACAAACCAAACATCCATCCACCAATTTTCTAACTGCTTATCCTCTTGAGGGTCGCAGGGGGCTGGAGCCTATTGCAGCTTACATTGGGCGAGAGGCAGGGTACACCCTGAACAGGTCACCAGACTATCACAGGGCTGACATGAAGAGACAGACAACCATTCTCACTCGGATTCACACCTACGGCCAATTTAGAGTCACCAATTAACCTGCATGTCTTTGGACTGTGGGAGGAAACCGGAGTACCTGGAGAAAACCCACAGTGACACAGGGAGAACATGCAAACTCCGCACAGAGGGGCTCCCGCACCCGGGATCGAACCAAAAACCCTCTTGCTATGATGCAACAGTGCTAACCACTACACACCGTGCCGCTTCACAAACCAAACAATCAGTCAAATAATGGAGAAAGTAATCAGCAGATTCATCCATAATAAAAATAATCATTAGTTAATAGTTCAAAATGAGCTCCACTTCAGCCAGCTACAACAGTAAAATCCTATCATTATGAGATCATAGTGGACTGACTGTTCCTGCCTGATGTCCCAACATAAGTCCACTATCTGTGTGTGTGTGTGTGTGTGTGTGTGTGTGTGTGTGACTGTTGTATTATACTGTGGCAGTAACAAAACCTCATCTCAGCTCACGCAGTAGTTTTCCACTCACCCCGCCTATCTACCACACCTACTTGCCAGCCTATCTCCTGTCCACACATTTCCCACTCCTGCTGGTCCACCATACCCTCCTCAACAAGCCAGCTCCACTCACCTGTACCTCATTACTCACTGCCACTATAAAGACCCCAGCATTACAGACACTTGTTGCCAGATTGTTTGGCTGGACCTGCTTCTTAGAAGGTTCTGAACCCCTGTTCACTCTGTGTTTATCAAAGCAGTGCATTTAAGTTCATTCTAAGCTGTCCTGTCTATCATCAGTGCTGCTCAGTCCAACACCCACTCGTCAAAATTTGAAATACCCTATTTTCTGAAACAGGACCTATTATGAGCTTCAAAAGAAAAGCAAATGAGAAGTGGACACACTTGTCTTTTGAAAAGGGAACAAAAAAATGACAATTATTAGAGGAACTGTAAGTTCCTGTGCTTATTTCATCATAACATACAGGGTCAGAAGAAAATGAAGAAGAAATGTAAAGAAACTGACAGCTCATTCACCTCATTGAGGCTTAGTTCTAGTTGGTCCGGCTTGGTTCAGTGTTACACTGTTTTCTGTTATGGTGAGTTCTTCATATGCTTTTATCATGTTGTTTGTTAAATCTCTTAATGAAGCCGTTATTCAAAAGCATTTTCTCTTTCATGTACAAAAAACAAACAAAAAAACATCCAAGTTAAGTAATCAGCAAGTGACGCCTACTTTTCATCATAAAAACAGAAGTATTTCTATATGAGGAAACAGTCGTTCATCAGACGCTGACAGAGAGAGAGCAGAATGTCTGGTTTCAGGTGGACTCAAATGTCTTCATTCCTTATGCTGCTTCATTTGACAGGTGAGACAATATTTTAAAGTGTAACACAGTAGATATGACATTTAGTTAACCCTCATGTTTTTTAGAACGCTGTGGTTGGTTTGTCCTTGCTTAAATTTCACGCTGTGAATAGTTGTGCTCTTATTTCTCAGTCACTTCTTTCACAGCTATAAATGGACAGTACTCTGCCTTCATTGTCAGAGACGGAGATGATGTCACTTTGCCTTGTGAAAATGTGACACACAACCAGAATGAATGTGAAAATACAAACTGGCTCTTCAGTGGTGCCGGAAACACACCATCGGTGGAGCTGGTTAACCTTGGACGGATTGTTGAAAACGCCAAATCAGAGCGACTGAGTGTTACAGCAGACTGTTCTCTGGTTATAAAGAAGGTCACACATGAGGATGTTGGACGTTACAGCTGCAGACAGTTCAGATCAGGACGACAACATGGTGAAGATGCTCAGGTTTATCTGTCTGTTGTTACCAGTGAGTATTTCAATCATAATGTTTTCAGCTCAAACTGTCTTGTTAGAACAATATACTGAAACATTACAATAATTATGATTACAGTGATGAAGTTCATTTTACTCTTGTTGTCTTTCTCTCACAATATCTCCATCTTCACCAGTGGAGGAAGATAAGGACAACGATAACGTGACACTCTCCTGCTCTGTGTCAACATACGGATGGTGTACACAGAGAATGAACTGGCTGTTTAACAGTAACGATATCAGAGATGTAAAGACGTCACAGTCTTACTGCGCGTCCAGTCTTACCTTTATGAACTCTCCCGACACTGACACATCAAGTTATGGATTGTTTGTGTGTGAAACAGTTGATATTTTCACTGGGAGAGTGAAGCAGTTCACCTTCAGCCGCCAGTCCTCAGGTGAGATGAGATGTTTAAACTCTCATTTTATTTAAACGTTTATATCTTTCTCTTTTAGTCACTGCAAATGTACATGAGGTTGATACCTTGCATTATTGTATTTGTTCAGGTGAAGCTGCAACAACAATGGGAACAATTGAAAACGGCACAAAAGCAGACGACACAAGATCACCACAAGGTAGTGATTGAACATGTAGCATACAATGGCATGCAAAAGTTTGGGCACCCATAGTCACAATTTCATTTACTGTGAGTAGTTAAGTAAGTAGAATAGAAACCGATCTCAAAAAGGCATTAAATTAAAGATGGAACATGCATTTCAACATTTTAAGCAAGCTTCGTGTATTATTTTTGTTTTGTACTATTTGAAAGTGAAAAAAGGAAAGGAGCACCATGCAAACGTTTGGGCACCCTGAGACATTTAAGCTCTGAGACAACTTTTAACAGGGTCTCAGACCATAGTTAGCTTGTTGGGCTTTGGTTTGTTAACAGTCATTGTTAGGAAAGGCCAGCTAATGCAAATTTCAGTCCCTTGTCCCAACAATCAGCAACCATGGGCTCCTCTGAACAGCTGCCTAACACTCTGAGAACTAATATAACTGATGTCCCCAAAGCAGGAGAAGGTTAGCAGAAGATAGCAGAAGTGTTTTTAGCTAGCTGTTTCCTTAGTTTGTGGTGTAATTAAGAAATGGCGGTTAATAGGAACTGTAGTGGTCAAGTTAAGGTCTGAAAGACCAAGAAAACTTTCCGAGAGAGCTGCTCGTAGGATTGTTAGACAGGCAAATCAAAACCTGTTTGACTGCAAAAGACCTGCAGGAAGATCTATCAGACTCTGGAGCGGTGGTGCACTGTTCTACTGTGCAGTGACACCTGTACAAATATGACCTTCGTGGAAGAAAACCTTTCCTGTGTCCTCACCATAAAATTCAGCATCAGAAGTTTGCAGAGGAACATTTAAATAAGCCTGATGCTTTTTGGAAACCAGTCCTGTGGACTGATGAAGTTAGAATAGAACTTTTTGGATGCAATGAGCAAAGGTATGTGAAAGGGTGCAGAATTTTGTGAAAAGAGCATTTGTCTGACTGTTAAACACTGGGGTTATTCAATCGTGCTTTGGGCTTGTGCTGCAGCCAGTGGCACGGGGAACACTTCACAGGTAGAGGGAAAAATGTATTCAGGTAAATTTCAGCAAACTCTGGAGACAAACATCACACCATCTGAAAAAAGCTGAAGATGAAGAGAGGATGGCTTCTACAATAGGACAATGATCCTAAACACAAGTGAAAGGTTTTGCCATGGCCGCCACAGTCCCCCGACATAAACCTCATTAAAAGTCTGTAGATAGACCTCAAAAGAGCAATACATGCAAGACTGTCCAAGAATCTCGCAGAGCTAGAAACCTTTTGCAGGAAGAATGGGTGAAAATCCTCCAAA